AGGGCTTGTGGCTTTGTTAGAAGCTTTAAGACTTAAAACGTAATGAGAAAGCGTTGTCTTTAATTTGTATGCATGTGGTACATGTTTATTGATTTATATTTGGTCCATATCAAATTGTGATCTGCTGTGATTGGACTTTGAGCTTGTGGCATTGGATAGCTAGCTTAGAGGTATGCTTTCGTGTCCTCGATTTAGCCATGTTGTGGTTCCACCATGTCCCATGGGGGTATGGTTATATGCATGCTGTGTTACATGTTTTTGATGTTTTGGAAATGTTGTTGAGCTATTGTATGATAGTGCCTTATTGATATGCATGGAGGTGTTCCACCTATACGGTAAGCCTGAGTATGTAGAACATACAAGAGGGTGAGGCTGTGGGTGAGGTGCAAGCGGTGTTCCTTGTACTACATGTAGGGAATAGACGTAGTCCTACATTTCTCTGGCCAGTAGATAGTGATTACACACATGCTATAGATATCTGTTGCACTACATAGTTTTGGAACTGATAATGATATAAATGCTTTTAGAACTTATATTGCACATGTAAGTGATGCTTTTAGACCTCTTGTCTTACTGAGATTTCTTGTTTAGAGATCTCACCCCACGTTTGGGGAATGCTAATTTCAGGGTCAGGTAATGTTGAGACCTCAGGCGGCAAGAGGCCGGAGCTGAGTTAGATTGCTGTTATATTATGCTGCCATGATTGGATGCTGGTTATGCATGTTGTTTATATGCTTATAGCTTCAGTTATGTTTATGGAGTTTTATGTTGAGACTGGTTGTTTACTATGTTTATTTGGTGAGCATGGGGATTGTCCATGACATATAGTATTGTTATGTTTTGATTATGTCTTGAGTCTTTTGGTGTTGTAATAATGTATCAGGATATTGTCTGGATTACGAGATGTAATACCGTGATGTAGATACACACTTTATTTATGTATTGAGGTATTTCAGTAGATGTCTTATTGCAATTTGTATACAGGCGTTAATTTATGAAATTGATTAAGTAATCAAGTTGGTAATTGATAATGACGTCATAATTGAAAAAAAAAGAATATTATGCATTTTTAATTAAGCACCGCTTAATACGATGTAATGTTAATATTTCGAGTATACACGGGGTGTTACACTTGACACCTCGCAACTCCATGGCTACTCCGGCCTCCCACAGAGCCCCTCTCCTCAGACCTGCGGGAAGGGGATTAGGAGCCGGGCTACCGTGCCCCATAGAAATCACGGCCCTGGATACCCCAGAAGATTCCGAGGGAGTGGATGTTTGACAGTTCCCAGTATCCAACCAGTTGTCATCCTCAGTTAAATCCAACACAGAAACGTCGGTGGTTGACAACGGCACGATGCTTGTTCCAGCAGGGGGCTAGCAATTCGTGGTCGTTTTAGCGCAGGTGGAGGTCGAGCAGTAGACTTCCCTCGCCAGGCTTGCACGTAGTCAGGGACCTTATCGGCAGCAAGATTAAAATAGAGTAAATACCCTTTTTTGTCCTCAGCAAATTTCACGATACCCGTTTTAGTCCCTAGCAAATAAAAAGGCCCATCGTGGTCCCTAAGAAATTCAAAATAGACTCATTTTAGTCCTTTTATGGACTAATATGGGTCTTTTTTGAATTTGTGAAGGACTACAATTTCAACTAAATGAGTTCATTTTGAATTTCTTAGGGACCACAATAGGCCTTTTTATTTGCTAGGGACTAAAACGGGTATCGTGAAATTTGCTGAGGACCAAAAAGGGTATTTACTCTATTTTATAACCTGAGATCACACATCTTAATTTTCCTTTTATAGTCGATGAGTATCCTATGTCTCAAATCCCAATTTATCTCTGGCTAATGGAGGCCTTTGTAAGATTAGAGATGGTTTTATCTATTGAAATTGCGGCATCTAGAACCTTTACATTATAATTTTAATTTTATGCAGATATAGCCGTGTAGGTCTTTAACCCTTTTAGTGGAGAAGGTTCTGAATTCTCGAACCTTGTGTTTTATGAAATTTCCTGAGGTTTTATAAGACAATGTTTAATGCTGATAGTTTGGTAGTAGTCCAACTTTTATCCATATTTCAGAAATCCGTATAGATCTGTAAGTTCATATAAATACTTGATTAAATCAACTTGAATCGTGTGATGTTTTTTGAAAATGACTGATATTATCTTGAGGCATCAGACAATTCCAGGATTTCTTTGTTACTGAATATTCTTTCGCTGGGGGTGGGGTATATCTTCTGTTTTCATGCTTACGTTGAATGCCTTGAGAAGGCCAAGCCGCAGACCGTAGAAATGGTGTGCAAAATAGTAAAGAAGCAGCTGGCTTTATCAGATGACTCTAATGTTACTGGCGACATAGGCCCCAAAGGGATGCAATGCAATATCAGCACAGTGGGCTGTTATAAAACAAATGTTTGCATTTGTAAACCTGTATTATTAGCAATCAACTATAAGGTTTCGATCTGACATGCCTGAAATCACTTCTACTTTGTAGGATGTTCCACAAAGTAGCCCCCAAGCTGATACTGAGACATAGGCCCCAAAGGGCACTCCTGGGGAAGCTAATGTTGAATCCATTGGTGGCAAGGGTGCAGTGGTAAAGCTAGCCACTGATAAGCTGAAAGATTCCAAGAAGTCTGATGATGAATCCAAAGGCATGGCTAATGAGGGAGAGGCAAGAGATGAACCCACGGTGAAGTCCAAGTCTGACCGTAAAATGGATGCCAGTGGGGAGATACGCAGGGACAGGGATAGGGATAGGGACAGGTACAGAACAAAATCCAGGGATAGGGATCGTGGGAGGGATTCTGACAAAGAACGTGAACGAGAGGAAGCTGAGAGGGACAAACTCAAGGATTGGGGTCACCGTTCCTGGGAAAGAGCAAAGGATTCAGGTATTTTTATAGATTTATTGTCTGGTAATTATTTTTCGTTGGGTATTTTGGATGAAATTAAGTTTTTCTGTTGGATGCAGCACATTCAAAGTCAAAACACCATTCATCGCGTGTATGAATCTGAATTCATGAGTTTGGCATTTTTTTCCTTTTGGTATTTCCTCTTCTAACACATTTTGATTTCAGATCGTGACTACCACGGTTCCTCTTACTCGTCAAGGGAGAAAGATCGACATAGTCATCATTGACATTATTTAAAAGAGCTTTCAAGATCTACAGGCTATTTTGTTCATGACACTTGTCAAAGTTCGCCAAGTAATTGAGAATTGCATAACTTTATATCTATAAATCATTTACTGCTACCTGTCAGGGCAAGAGTTGTCAAAATTATAAACAATAGGAATGCCTTGTTGTATTAGTTGCATTCACAATCACATTCGAGCTTGTCATTCAGATTTCAACAAACAATTATCCCTGACTGTATCCCTTCTGCAATGATAGTGGATAAAAGCTATAGAAATAAATTTTTGTATGTTAACTGGTTTAGTTTAATATTTTTCTTTATTCGTTATTGTGATTTAGGAATGATTTATAAGTGCATACTCATTAGGTAGTAAACATCAGCATAAATTTTAGTTTAAGTCAAAATATTTTGTTAATATGATTAATCTTTTCTTTTGCTCGTCATAAATAAATAGAATACATACAAAATAACGTTGTTACTAACCAATGGTTGATTTAACAAAAAAAAATATCATGTAATTCATGCACAATTAAGTAATTATTTAAGTTGAACTAAATTAATTGAATGGGTGTAATGCTAATTGAATCTTATATAGAAACAGTTTAAAAATTACATATGACTTCTATCATCTCTATTTTTCACTTTTATTCCAAGGTAGCATTCCAAGTTTTCAAAATATGTGATTTGAAGCAAAATATAAAGAATAAATTAAATGTACGTGGTCTATTAATTCATTATCATTCAATTGTTGGATTTACTTAACAAAATATTAGGTAACTATTTTTAAAAACTAAAAAAAAAAAAAAAAAACACCTTTTTTTTTGCGGTAAAAAAAATGCATTTTTGCAAGATGAAGTTGAACGCAGGTTGGATGGAGCATGGGATATGTGAATCAACAAACATCCCCGTTCGTACTACTACCATGTAACACCGCTTATAAAAGAAATCACCATGAAGTAGAACCCTTGAAGACAATAATAAATCAAGGTTGACGTGACTCTTTGCGACAATGTCACCTTCAATTAAGAGAACAATACCCGCTCAGTTGGCAACTGCGCTTCCAGGATTTGTTTGGGTCACGGGTTCAAACCCTGTCTCACGCAAATTCTTGGAAAATCTTTGAGAGCCAGAGGACGTGTCTTTGTCCTCGAAGGGGGATTAGTCTCATCCTTCCTCTGGTAGCGAAACTCAATGCACCCGCTGTTCCAATGAAGAGCTAGCCTTCAATTAAGAGAACAATATCCGCTCAGTTGGCAACTGAGCTTCCAAGGATTTGCTTGGGTCACGGGTTCAAACCCTGTCTCACGCAAATTCTTGGAAAATCTTTGAAAGCCAGAGGACGTGTCTTTGTCTTCGAAGGGGGATTAGTCTCATCCTTCCTCTGGTAACGAAACTCAATGCACCCGTTGTTCCAATGAAGAGCTAGCCTTCAGGCCGTACTCCGAGAACAAGGTGACCGAAGGAGGTTAAATAGGGATACCCTCCAAGTTATACCAAAAAAAAAAAAAGAGAACGATACTCCAGGGGGACAAACAAACTTGGATAACGAGTTCATCTCCAATGACAAATCAAGAAACTATAATGCGCAAACACAATTAAGGAACGTCAAGCCAGAAGATCAGACACTGTTATGTAAAGAGTAAAAAGATACATACAAGAGAATATAGCACCTTCAAGAAAAGTAATAAATCAAAACACAATGAGGAAACCAGCTGTCCATTTTTTTTCCATGTTTCTTTGGTGCTTTTACCCCCTCATTAGCCTAACATACAGCGGCAATCCCTCATGTTTCTTTACCATTATCCATACTTTTTTTGTCCCCTTCGTAATCTTTCAAGGATTGCTTTGTCATTAGCCATCACCTATTCCACTCCAGTATTTAATATTCCATTCTCCATCTTCACATCACCAACCTTCAATAGATTAATAGGCAGTCCTGCAGGATCAAGTTCAAAAGATCCACTTGGAACACCTTCCCTTTCATTACCAGTCATCTTATATGAGGGAATTCGATGTGAGAACCTATATAGCTCATTAGGTGGAACACAAAATAAGTTCACTCCATTCTTCTCATTTATCTGAAAGAGGCTAACAAACCCTTTCACTTTTCCCAGATAAGCAACTTCAATGCCAACTTTCTCTGCAAAATCTGATAGGATTTTCACATACTCATATTCAAACTTCAAATAATTTTCTGGATTAGAACTCCATTTGATATCCCAATCTCTGAAAATTGCCCAAGTTTCTCCCTTCTTAGGATGTACCAGAAAAGAACCTTTGCGAATTCTTGTTATGCAGTGCATCTGATGAGAGAACATAGCACGATCTGTAGTTTTCTGAGAACCACCAAGTTTGAATTTACCGCAAGCAATAGGCAAGTCTGCAGCATGCCAAACAATCCCACCTTGGTCATTTGGGTTAGGTTCCAACCAAGTAATCTGCAACTTGAAAGGGGAAGCCACTTTCTTAACTAGAGCATAAAACCTAGGCATTGCGTCAATGGGATCATAAATTGCCCAGAATTGATTAACAGCAAAACAACCCTCTGCCTTATCCTTCTCAAAATCACTGAAATCTGGGTCAGGAAATTGAATGATCTCTGGATTGTTCGGCACATTCGAATTCAATGGAGAACAGTTGTCCACTTTTGACGTTCTATGATCAGGATCTAACTCGGATACTTTCTTTCTTTGAACACGAGACTGCTCAATTTTGCTTTTATTCTTTAAAAATATTTCTTCAGATGAACTACTTACCTTATTTCTCACCTCTCTGTTCTGATCAAGCACACCAGCAGCAGAACTAGTTGGATTATTATTATTGGACAACCCACCACTTGCAGGCACGTTCTTTTCCTCAACTTCATTGGCGGTAAATGATTCATTTTGTTGTGCCTTTTTGGAAGGCATCTCAAAATCATCATCATCTTCAGAGATTTCCACATATAAAACATGCCGCTTTTGCCTGGAAGGTCTCCTAGCATTAAGTCTTGAAGGATCAACACCATTTTCTCGAACATTGGCATCTTTCATGTCATCACCATTTCCAGCGGTTGAACTTTCTCTTGAATCTGGTGCTGACTGCCTTACTCTCTTACTTCCGACATTTGTTGAGGTTTGTGAATCTCTGGCTTTGGACGCAGGAAGATAGCCATCTTTTTTCTTTCTACCTTTACAATGCTCACCACCACCAGTAGCATCTTTTTGCACAGATGAAGGATATGACCGCACAAACTCGTTTGCATGTTCTCCACCAAGGGATTTTCCACCATTACTTTCTGAGGCCGGTTTTGGCGGACCATGCACAAGAGTCACTTTCTGGAAATTAGATGATGTCCATGTATCTACTGGTGGGACCCCTTGGTAGGCAGAATTTTGAGCTGTAAATGTTTTCAAACATTTTAGACAGCGTAAGGTTGCATTAACAAAAAATTTGTAGTATTGGTACTTAGTATTACAATGTTTGCAAGATGTCCAGAATGTCTGTTGTTCAGCTTGCTGATGGGCATTCCTAAAAGTGGAGTTTGAATCAGAATTCTTCTGATCATTTGTTGCATTTACACTATGTTTGGCGGAGAATGTATTCCCATTTGAGGGATGGTATGAGGTCTTAGGTGCTGCAGTTTTTGCAAAGGTTCTAAACTTCATATCATATGATGAACGTTTTGCTTGGTCACTCAACACCCTATTGGCTTCCCCAATCAACTTGAAAGCAGCTTCTGCACCAGCAAATTTATTTTTATCAGGATGAAGTAGTAGCGCAAGCTTCCTGTACTGTTTCTTTATGGTTGCTTCATCAGCCAATCCTTCAGTCTGAAGAATTCTATACCAGTCCATGTCAGACCCAAAGAGTTTGTTCTTTGCAGCATTGTGAACCTCACAAACCGTAAGGATCTGAGCTATGTTTTCAACGTCAGCGTACAATCTTTTGGCCATCGTAGCAAACATCAGTGCCTCGACAAATTCTCCTTTTTGCATTCTACGTTCAGCAGTTTGCTTAGCCCTCACAGCCATATCCTTGTTGAACTCCATGGGTCCAATGAACCAAAATTCAATCACCTTACTCCTCTCAATGTCTCCCTAAAACATAGAAAAGGAAACATATGTAATTGTACCTATTCACATTCCCCACAAACCAGATTGACATCAAACCAAGCAAGAAAAAAATTAAGCCAAACCGACCACCTATATGCCATGCAGTACTTGCAAAAACAAAACATAGTAGATATAAAAAGGCACCAGCATATAAGCAGCTATGCAGATTCTGAAACAGATAATTAGGCAATTAAGAGTTAAGATAAAAGCTATCTCGTTTGGAACTGAAAAGTTCCAGGAAAATTTGTTGTGCATACTGAATATCATAATCAAGAAAGTCTAAGATTTTCATTTCAACTATATAGTGCACAATTACTGGAACGAAATCATTCTAGAAACTCCACGAAATGAACATTGAATCATATGTCTCTTGAAAAATCCAAAAGCGAATATCATATAATGCATGTTAAGTTATTTATCAGTTTTCGACAAAGATATCTATCTACGCACAAGAGGAAAATGAGGATTTTCTTTCTGTAACGGGAAAAATATAGAAACTGAGAAGAACAAAACCATGTCATAAGTTAAGTATCTCTCAGAACAAGTTTAGACATAAAGTTTCCACCTTTTCTTCTTTGCTTAATTTCCTGAGCTACTAAACAGCATAATGTAAATCTTAAATTTGATGCTTCGGACGCAAAGCAAAATCCACATTTGAATTTTGAACCGACCCAAAAGAAACAAAATGAGCACAAGCGGAAGCGCAAAGAGTTTAAAGAAGAGAAAAAGTGGAAATGGAAATTTAAAACCCTAAATTGTAAAGCAATAGAAGAAATGGGCACAATAAATAAAGAGAGGGAAGAGAATGAATGGAACTTACTTGCACTGAGTGAGAGTATCCAAATCAATCCAAGTTAGACAGACAGATAATCTACACTACACAGAAAGTATATAGGAAGAGAGAGGAAGCGCCACAAAAGCGGGAAGTGAAAATGAAAGAAAATTTTGAAAACGCGAGGGAAAGGGAAAAGACCAAATAAAATGAGAATCATTGCCAAAAGACATTCATCAGGAATCTTTGCAAAACATTGGTCAAAATGCTACAAGCCAAAAGCCCTGGTTGGATTTTTTTTTTTTGGGGGTTATACATGAATTATGTTATATGAAAAACACTATTTGGTCTCGCGAGAGAAAATGTCTTGAGGAAAAAGAAAATAAAAAACTGTGGAGCCCACATCTTTTTGGTTGTGCACGAAAACAAGTTTTCTTCCTATTACATAATAGATACATTTCCCCCTTTTTTTTAGTTAAGAGCTACTTTTAAGCTATAATTAAAAATAAGTGTTTTAAAAATGAAGTTACAAGTTGTTTGATGATTATATAAAAAATTTTGTTTAAAAACTACTTAAAAGCTCTTCATTTAAAAAAAAAACACACATTTCAAAAAAAGTTAATATAACTTTAAAAAACTCATTTTAAGAGGCTTTTGATTTTTTTTTTTATTATAAAAGTTTTTATAAAAACCTGTTTCACCTGCTTATAAAGAGAAGAGTAGATAAATATATATATATATATATATATCCAAACAGTCACTAAGAATAGTAGATTTAAATTGGTGGCAAATATAATTACAGAGCCATTTGTTCCAACACAATCTTTATTATTATTTTAATTTTATGCGTGTCTCATTAAATAGAAAATAAATCTATATTTATTATAAAAACATAGTATAGGATAAAGCAAAAGAGCTAGTATTTAATGAATATAAAGACCAACAAATATTTTGACAAAATTTTAGAAGGTCTAATATTTCTGCTTTTGAATAAAAAAATTCTACCACACTCACGTAGAAGTGAGTGGATCCACTAACTTCTTCTCTCCCATCTTTCAAAATGGGGCTCGCTTATTTTTTATTTGAGTGTGACAGAAAAAAGTATTTCTACAACAAAAATAGAAATGTTTTTTCTATTTTAGAAATAAGGGAAAATGTTTATCCTTTTAAATGACACAACTTGTGTCATTTCACTATCACAAAGATGTGAGACTCATATCTTTATTTTTTTATCCATTCTCTCCTCCCATAATCTATCTCTTTTTCTCACTTAAAATGACACAACTTTACATCCTTTAAAATGACACATTTTTTTCATAAAAATAACATAAGGATAAATTAATAATAGATAATGACAAAATAGACAAAAAAATCCTAAACTTATGTTCAAAGCTTAAGAATACGATTAATTGACCATTTTGCTCCTCTTCCAAAACTAAATATCAATCTACCTTTATTTTGACCAATACTTATTCGAATAAGTATCGAGCATAAACTATGATGAATTACATAATTTTCATATGCGGTTACTTCATTGAGCCTCTTTAGTTATCGTCACATACTTCATTTATTTTAGGGTATAGATGCCTACTTTCTGACAAGTGCAGTAAGTTTTACATAATCTTATGTTCATTGAAATAAGGAGTCACCATTATTTGTTATTATTGGATAGTAAGAAACAAGAATAGGAATTAAATAACATCATGCATAAAAATAAAACGTGCCAAACAGGCATCGATCATCAACATCAACATCAACAACACATTTATCCCAAATTAATTGGGGTCGGTGGTAGATGAACCCACATGAAAGATACAAAACGGTTGAAAAAAAGTAAAAAAGCAAAAAAAAATAAAAAATAAAAAATAAAAATAGACAAATAAAATAAAATAAAAATAAAAAAAATAAAAAAATAAAAAAATAAAATAAAAATATATGTATATATAAATAAATAAAAGTAAAAAAGAAATGGACAAGAAGAAGTGGGGGAAACGAAGGGGAAAAGGACTAAAAAGGGACCATCTGGAACATAGGAATAACAGCGGGTCTAACCCTCCACCATACTTATAGCTTTTCTCCATTCCTTTCTAAGACATACTGTCCGCCAATCTATATCTCACTCCATTAAATCTTGTTTTACTACTTTCCCCCAAGTAAGCTTCGGCCTACCTCTGCCTCTTTTTGTGTTTAGCTCTTGGTAACAAACTTTTGTTCTTACAGGAGCATCCATGGGTCTTCTCATCACGTGCCCAAATCAACTTAATCTATGTTCTCTCATCTTCTCGGCTACCGGTACTACTCCGACCTTTCGTCAAATATCTTCATTTCTTATCTTATCCATCCTTGTGTAACCACACATCCACCTTAACATCCTCATCTCTGCTACTCCCATCTTATGCTCATGTTGCCTATGTGCTGGCCAGCATTCCGATCCATATAGCATTGCCGGTCTTACTGCCGTTTTATAGAATTTCCTTTTAACTTCAGGGGGATTTTGCGGTCACACAAAAATGCAGATGCACTGCGCCATTTCATCCACCCTGCTCTGATTCTGTGATTTACATCCTCATCAATCTCTCCACCGTTTTGTAAAATGGATCCCAAGTATTTAAAAGCATCTTTTTTGGGTACCTCTTGACCATTTAGATGCACAGTTTCTTGGTCCTCATCTCGTACCAGAGAAAACTCACTTCAAATACTCAGTCTTGCTTCGACTTAATGTGAATCCTCTGGATTCCAATGTGCTTCTCCACAATTCAAGTTTTCTATAATGCGCTTCTCCACAATTCAAGTTTTCTATTAACACCCTCCTTGCTCTCATCAGTAAGCACAATATCGTCTGCAAAAAGCATACACCATGGCACTTCCTCTTGAATATCTTTTGTTAGTTCATCCATAACTAAGGCAAAGAGGTAAGGACTTAAAGCCGACCCTTCGTGTACACCTACCGTGATAGGAAAATAACTTGATGATCCGTTACAAGCTTTTACACATGTAGTGGCCTCATCATACATATCCTTGATTGCCTTTACATACTTTAATGGAACCTTTTTCTTCTCCAGGACCCACCATAAAACTTTCCTTGGAACCCTATCGTATGCTTTCTCAAGGTCTATAAACACCATATGCAAGTCCTTCTTCTTTTCTTGGTATCTTTCCATTAGTTGTCGCATCAAGAAAATGGCTTCCATGGTACATCTTCCTGGCATAAATCCAAATTGATTTACAGAAACCTTGGTATCTCTCCTCAAGCGATGTTCAATAACCCTCTCCCACAACTTCATAGTATGGCTCATTAGCTTAATACCTCTATAGTTTGAACAATTCTGTATATCTCCCTTGTTTTTGTAGATAGGCACAATCATATTTTTCCTCCATACATCAGGCATCTTATTCGTCTGGAGAATCTTATTAAAAAGATTGGTCAACCATTTTATTGCCACATCCCCCAGGCCTCTCCACACTTCAATAGGGACACCATCAGGCCCCAAGGCTTTATTAGTCTTCATCCTCTTTAAAGCCTCCTTAACTTCATGTGTATTAATTCTGCGTACAAATCTTCTATTCATATCATCATACGCGTCCTCTAAGTCCACCTCGCTTGTATCTCCATCCCCATTAAACAGCTTGTTGAAGTATTTCAACCATCTTTCATTTACATCTTCATCTCTCACCAGAAGTTTTTGATTTTCATCCTTGATGCATCTAACTTGGGTGAGGTCTTTACTTTTCTTATCCCTTATCTTTGCAAGTTTATAAATACCTCTTTCGCCATCCTTGATCCCATGATTTTTATACAACTCGTCGAAAACCTTGCCTCTAGCTTCTCGCACTGCTTTCTTTGCATTTTTTCTCGCCAATCTAAACTTTTGCAGGTTCTCTTCACTGGGACTTTTATGCAAAGATCTAAAGCACTCCTTCTTATGTTTAATTGCCTCTTGCACTTCTCCATTCCACCACCATGTTTCCTTTGTATGAAATCCATTTCCTTTGCTTTATCCCAACACCCTCCTTCCCAAATTTTGAATACACTTAGCCATCTCATTCCATATTGCATTTACTCCTCCATCAAACTCCCAAGGTCCTTCGTGCAACATTCTATCATTGAACTCTCTCTCTTTTCCCTCCTTAAGCTTCCACCACCTTATCCTTGGATTCTGAGCCCTCTTCTTCATTGTACGTACTTTGTTGAACCGAACATCCAAGACTACCAGCTTATGTTGCGTAGCAACACACTCTCCAGGGTAGACCTTACATTCGACACAAGAAGTTATATCTTCTCTTCTAGCCAGAAAGAAATCAATCTAACTACGATTATGGCCACTATGATAAGTGATTAGGTGTGACTCCCTTTTTTGAAAAAAAGTGTTCACTAACATCAAATCGTAGGCTAGTGCAACATTCAAGATATCTTCTCCAGTCTCGTTTCTCGTCCCATAGCCAAAACCTCCATTGCTTTTACCAACATGACCATTTAGATCTCCTCCTACGAAAATCTTCTCCTCTCGAAGTATTCCCCTCAAAACCTCCTCCAAGTCTTCCCAAAATTGGCTTTTATCAGTTGGTTGCAATCCAATTTGGGGTGCATACACAATGAGGATATTCAGAATTAAGTCACCCACAACAAGCTTAACCAGAATAATCCTGTCGCCTTTCCTTTTGACGTCCACAACTTTATCCCTGAAACTTTTATCAATCATAATTCCAACACCATTTGGACTCTTGTTCGTACCTATGTACCATAACTTGAAACCAGTTCCATCCACTTCCTTAGCCTTTTCTCCAGCCCACTTAGTTTCTTGCAAACAAACAATATTCATTTTCCTTCTAGCAAAAACATCTGCCAACTCCCTCAATTTACCTGTTAAGGTTCCTATGTTCCAGCTTCCCAATCTCATCCTTAACCCCTGGGCTGTGCTTGCCCGCCACGCTCGCCCATCTACGTGTTGGGACCCTGGCATACTTCACGACCTATATGATTTTTCGTTGGGGCGTACCCTTCATAGCGACGCGTTGCATCGGGCCCCGGGTGTAGCGAAAAATGGGCTAGGGTCCTTGCCACAAGGCAAGGCGCTGCATCGGGCCCAGGGTGTAGTGAAAAGTGGGCTAGGATCCTTGCCCCAAGGCAAGGCGCCAGGTCTTCACCCGGATTTGGTGAGAAGTATATCCTTTGTCATTATGGGTCAATTCATTTAAGAAAATCATTTCAATGAAATCCATCCAATTCGGACGACCAAGTCAAAAGTTATGTCATTCCAAAGTTTATATCTTTTTAGGGTTAAGACATACATCTTTTGATCTATTCATGGTTTGAATCAAGTCCATTTATATATGTACAAGACATTAGAATTTAGTTTAAATAAAAAATGTCTTGTGGATCCGGTTTTGATTTGCCCACTTTTTTGCTTTACTCGAGTATATAATATTAGTTTAGTTTAGTAAATGACTTATTAGAGTAAACCACCTTTATTTTGTCGATTAAGTCATTGGTTACTCGAGTAATTATCGATTAAACAAGAATATATTGATATATAATTTCGATAAAATGTTAAAATTAATATATAGTTTAGAAAAGGGGTAAAATAGTATTTTAAAAAAAGGGCAACATGGTCCACCAACCCAGAAATACACTTGCCATAAATAAATCTATGCTAAACTCGAGGTGTTTCTTTGGTTCTAGTTACTTTGATTAGGCCGACCTAACTATGAACATTAACAAGGTAACATGCAAGCGTTATGAGTTAGGGGTCACATTTTCATCCGATTAAAACATCAAAGATCAAATCTTTAATGAATCAAAATGTAAAAATCGTGTTTTTAACCGAACAAAAGTATCCTAACTTGTCAATAGTAAAGGAACAAGCTCTGATACCACTTGAAAGTTGCCTTTTGTAGGCCATGAACATAAAAGAAAAAAAATTAAAATTTTTGTGAACCTTTGCCCACCCTCAATCATGTTCAACCCATAAATCATGCAATAGACATGTTAGGGGTTTAAAGTTGATACCTTTATTCAGATAATTATTCCTGATCAGATGCGTTCTTGATCAATTCTTCAAACTTGAAGAACACAAGTCCTCTGATGGAATTCTACACCACCTTGTTGTCTTGTAAAAGAAGAACACTTCTTCGAATGCCCAATATCCTTCAATGGAGGTTGCTAGACTCGAGAGACGAATAGAGATTGGATGTTGCCTTTGTTTATTCCAAGAGAGAGATAGTCGCCATAGTGATGTGTGTGTTGGCTAAGGTTTCAGTGGGAAAAATTAGAGAAGAAGAAATACTAAACTAAGGAAGAAGAAGAGCTATATATAGATGTGACGTCTCATTAACCTAAGACTGGGTCAAATCAGCGCCCTTATCAAATCCCAGTCTTATTGGGTAATTTCTTTAATTTTATCCAATTAATCCAACTGATTGGTTTCCCCAATTTCAGGCAATTAATTTAATTAATCGGTTTCCTTAATTTTATCCAACCAATCCAATTGATTGGTTTCCCCAATTTCAGCCAATTAATTTAATTAATTGGTTTCCTTAATTTTATACAATCAATCAATTAGATTGATTGATGTGGCGTCTCATTAGCCTAAGACTAGGTCAAATCAGCGTCCTTATCAAATCCCAATCTTATTGGGTAATTTCATTAATGTTATCCAATCAATCTAATTGATTGGTTTCCCCAATTTCAGCCAATTAATTTAATTAATTGGTTTCCTTAATTTTATCCAATCAATCAATTGATTGGTTTCCCCAATTTCAGCCAATTAATTTAATTAATTGGTTTCCTTAATTTTATCCAATCAATCAATTAGATTGATTGATGTGGCGTCTCATTAACCTAAGACTCGGTCAAATCAACGCCCTTATCAAATCTCAATCTTATTGGGTAATTTCCTTAATTTTATCCAATCAATCCAATTGATTGGTTTCCCCAATTTCAGCCAATTAATTTAATTAATTGGTTTCCTTAATTTTATCCAATCAATCAATTGATTGGTTTCCCCAATTTCAGCCAATTAATTTAATTAATTGATTTCCTTAATTTTATCCAATCAATCTAATTGATTGCGTTTATTTATTTTCTCAATCTTCAATAAGGGATAGGATATTGTGGCAACCAAATAATGTTACTACCAATGTTACTACCACATCTTAACCGTTGATTTCCGCCAATCAATGATTATCATTTATTTCGAATTAATAATTAATTAATGAGTTTGATTCGAAAAATGATAACCGTTAATTGGCAGAAATCGACGGTTAAGATGTGGTAGTAACATTATTTGATTGTCACAATATCCTATCCCATTTATATTACTTTACTTAACAATAAGACATTTTATTATAAAAACATACATTAGTAAAATATCCTAAAAAGTAAAAAAAAAATAATCAATAATATTTTTATAATTTTTTTTTATTTTAATCTTAATCTTGTGATAAGAATATAAGCTTCTGTGAAATTACTCCCATAACTCGGTTGGTAAAGGTGAAGGATATGCAATAAGAGTGTGCAAATTTAAATATTAGAATGCACTACGTTCCTTCTGTCCTATACTATGTTGCACCGATACGACACGCGACACGTGACACGACACGACACTCCGACACGTCAATCCTAAAAAATTATGGATTTCGACACGTTGGGACACGTTTTAATATTAAATAATATTTTTAATTAATATAGTGTATATTTCAGTTAATATTTAATAATTTAACAAAAAAATGAAACTAAATTAATAATATCCATCAACACGTTATAAAGATGGAAGCTTTAATAAAAAAAATAAGAACTGAGATGAGAGAGAGATATAATATGAGATAGAGAGATCAAATCAAATTAGAGAGAGAGATCAGAGACAAGGAGATACAACAAGAGCGTGATAGAAATTGACAACAATGATGCTGAGATGATCTTTTATCTACTTTAGGGAAAAAAAGAGAAAAAAATAAAATTGATATGATCAGGTGGAAGCTTTATTAATATATTTTAATTTTTTAAATAAATAATTTTTTAAAAAAAGTTTAAAAAAGTTTAAAAAAATTAAAAAAAAATTACGAAAATGCCATTTGACCGTGTCGGACACGGTCAAATTCGCGTGTCGGAATGGTCAACGTGTCGGAAAAAGTTGATCGCGTGTCCGACACCGTATCGGAGGGTGTCGCCGTGTCGGAGCGTGTCAGACACGACTCTCCCTGTTTTTACAACTGTCCGTGCTTCCTTGGTCCTATATATACCCTGTGTCTTACTTGAACCAAACATAAAATAATATTTGAATAAATTGAGAAATATTAAACATAAAAGAAAAATCAAATTAGAGAAATTGTGATTTTAAAAAAGGGTTAATGATTTGTTGTTTTAAAGGATGTAACTTATGTCCTTTTAACAATTTATAACTATATACTAAGGATAGTTAGTACACAATTATAATGTTAAAGTTATACTTTTTTTCTCTCTTCATAAACTGTTTGTTGACGTGAAAAGTGAAAAAAAATACGTACACTACCCTTATTACATAGTTATAAATTACTAAAAGGATATAAGTTACATCATTTAAGAGGACAAACTTTCAACCCTTTAAAAAAGGGAAAGTTATATTTACAAATTTTTTGTTTACAAACTACACTAAGTATGAGCGGTCATACTTAAATCAAAAGTGTATGACCGGTCATACTTAGTGTAATTTGTATAAAAAATTTGTAAACGGATCCTTCCCCTTAAAAAATGGGAAATATATATATATATGAAGGGAAATAATTATCTTATGTTGCATGAGATAATTATCTCATGTAAGAGAGACAAAATAATGAGGTCCACTATTTTTTTTTTCTTAAAAAGTAGTGGACCCCATAATCTTATCTCTGTTGCGTGAGATAATTATCTCATAATTATCTCATAATATATCCCATATATGAATTTGATAAAGAAGTAAAATATTTTTACTAAGTAACGGACTTTCTATTTGACCATGTGGAAAATGGTCATGTTTATCGTTAAAGAATTGGTTCTCTACTTTTGTTTTGTTACGCACTCAAGTTAGTTAGGAGTTAGGACTATCAACTGTGGTATTTTGCTTAATCCGAGATAGCGATATCCATTTCTTACACTACCTCTGAAATCTCACTTCTTGCCCCTTTAGAACTTCTAAACTTTTTCTTTTTCTTTTCCTTTCTCTTACCCTTTTTATTTGTAAAGGTATAAGTACTTAAGTAGTAGACTAGTTTTCACGTTGCATTCCACTTCCACGTTCATTAATATTGTATAAATCATTAAAAAGGTCCTCAACAAATACCTTAAGATTTTGGGTTAAAGTAGTTCTTAACATGATATCAAAGCTTGAGTGACTACAAAGTCATAAGTTCGATCCTCACCGCCCCCCACTTTAAAGTGGAATTAAAATAAAAGCACAAAAGGTAAACCAAAAATTGGACCTGTGCAATATCCACGGTTCTAGCCAAAAGGCTCTTGCGTGAGGGGGTGTGTTAGAGAATAATATAAATCATTATGAGTTGAAGTGGTTCTTAACACATTCCACTTCCAAGTTCACCATGGGAACAAAGGTACGAAGAAGCAAAATAGTAACTTTAGCAAAATAGTAATTTTTTTACAAGCATGAAAAATCAGTCTTTCTCGTTTGGATCCTTCCATCATCATAACAAGAGAATGCATTACGAGAATTTCATCATTTTCTAATTCACTATCTCGTCCTTCTATGCATGGAAGAGACTAGGGGTGTTAACGGGCCGAGCCGAGCCGAGCTTTGATCTTAACGGGTCAAGCCTGTATTTAAACGTGTCAGACTGGCCTTAGCCTGTTACGAATATAATATTAGCCTGTGGCCTGGTTCGTTTACAAAAAATAAAAGCCTGTCTCAAGCCTGTGGCCTGTTTATTTATT